CCGATATTATATATAATATATGTATAATAAACAATTAAGTGATCTTAATAATAGCGTGTTAACAATACGAATATCTCAACTAATGTATGGTCATTATGGCGAGGCACTATGCGTCGACTTCATCGTACGTATATCCTTGCTTGAGTAATTACATCTGTTGCCAGCGATACATAGTTAACTGCGTGCTCGAGCATAATTAATAGTGCAGCGGTTTAGTAGATGGTGTGCAAATGCATTAGACGAGGAAATTGCAGTTTGTAGCAAACGGACACGACGAAACGACGACGTCTGGGGCATTGTTGTGGGAAAAGTGTGCCTTCCGTCCCGTGTACGCGAGTTCCGTGTTTCCGTGACCCTGATAGAAACTGGCCCCGGCCGTGTGTATGCGAGGTCGGAGCTTTGTGCAGCGAAACGACCGCGTCACGATTATCAACCGCTTAATTTCATAATACGCTCGTAACACGCTCAGTACTTTTTACCGGGACGGAATAAGGTTTTATTATTTTTTATATTGCGTGCATAAGTATTTTCGATAAATTTGTCATTCCTAATTTCTAATGAATTCTCGCTGTCTTTAAAATGTGCACAAGTATCTTTTACATCGGACGTTTTTTTAATTGATTTAATTTTTGCTCAAAATAATAAATAATTGGCATTTTACAGTTCTCGAGTAATTAATGATTAAAAATGAGATTTTAGGAGAGTTAAAGAAAAAGAAAAATAAAAACAAATTGTATTTTTAAATCGACATCGAACTTTAATATTGAGAATTAAGCATTTGTAACTTTTCAAAATTTCCATCCCCTTCGCTTTAAGAGTCGCGTGTGATAATCGCATCACGTGAAATTTTTGTTCAAAATAGTAAAGATTGGCATTTACAGTTCTTGAGCAATTAATGATTAAAAATGACATTTTAGAAGAACTGAGAGTTAAAAAAAAAACAAATCGTATTTTTAAATCGGTATCAAACTTTAATATTGAAAATTTAACAGCCGTAACTTTTTAAAATTTCCATCCACTTCACTTCGAGAGTCGCGTTTGATAACCGCATCGCGTGGAATTTTTGTTCAAAATAGTAAAGATTGGCATTTACAGTTCTCAAGTAGTTAATAATTAAAAATGAGATTTTAGGAGAGTTAAAGAAAAAGATAAGTGAAGACAAATCGTATTTTTAAATCGACATCGAATTTTAATATTAAGAATTAAGCATTTGTAACTTTTCAAAATTTTCATCCCCTTCACTTCGAGAGTCGCGTTTGATAACCCCGTCGCGTGAAATTTTTGTTCAAAATAGTAAAGATTTACAGTTCTCGATATATTTCTCGAGTAATTAATGATTAAAAATGAGATTTTAGGAAAGTTAAAGGAAAAGAAAAATGAAGACAAATCGTATTTTTAAATCGACATCGAATTTTAATATTGAGAATTAAGCATTTATAGCTTTTCAAAATTTCCATCCCCTTCACTTCGAGAGTCGCGTTTGATAACCGCGTCTCGTGGAATATCGGTCAAGGTCTCTTAAGCAGTCGATCGTTGATGGCGAAGAGCGCGAGTCGCACTCGAGGAGAAGATAAAAATAAAAAAGGAAAGAGGGGAAAGAAAGAAGCTGCCACAGGATGCGCTCGATTACGGGATCTGCTTGGAGCAGGATGCGCCAAGGCAGCCGGGCCGCCGTCGTCGTCTCGTCTTCTGCAAATGGAGTGAAGCGGAATTGCATTATATATACGAACCGGCGTATTGCGAGACGAGCATTCCCGCGGCGGATTCGAGTGTGTTGGTACGCAAATCGTCGAGCGAGGCGAGACCCAGCCAGTAACGATCCAAATGCCGGCCGATCATGCTCGCCGACATGTTGTTCTCGCTGTACGACTCCACCACCATCAGCTCGCTCCCGTATCTGTGGATCGTCGAAAAAAAATCGTGACTCATCTTACAATGTAGCACACTGCAGTCGCGAAGAATGAGGGAAATGAGAGGAGAATGTAGAATATACATAAATATATAACTTATTCAGGGCCGCGTTTATAAAATTTGCATCTAATTTGCTTGCGATCTCTCGCGAGTGCCTCAGTGCATAGTCTCCTTCTTTCCCCCATAAATAAACAGTAAATAATTAAGTAACATTTTAATATCCATTAAAATGTCTATACTAAAACACTTTTAGAAACAAGGACATAATTATACAGAGAATACGATTTTTCTTTGGATTTGATAAATTTTATTGTATTTAAACAAATTTGTTATTTGGAATGGAATTCAAACAAACCAATGTTTTAAATCAATAAGTACGATTGTTTGAATTTGAAACAATGTATATCTTTGTCTTAAATAAATTACATCGGAAGAGCACA